CTCTCTCTCTCTCTCTCTCTCTCTCTCTCTCTCTTTTCTATAAGAACGGCTTGAGAGACTGGCAGATGCTGTCATCACATCTAGGTAAACTCTATGGCGTTCCCTGGAGCTAACACCAGTCATCCTGACAAAAGAAGGAAATGCAGTGAGTGTGGCGTGATCTGTTCTTGAGAAGGCCATGGCAGCACTTGGTGGTCGCTGCTGCTTTCTCTAGACATTCACTAGCCATCCCTCGTATGTTCTAGAACTTTGGGAGGAGTTGAAGTCAATCTCCTTGGACAATTGTTTTCAGATTCTATTCTCTTCCTTTTCTTCCCTCCCCCCCCAATTAAGACATTTCCCCTTTCCCATTCTCTGTGGTCTTCCAAATATCACTGATAGGTGCTCACCAATCCCATTGGCCAGCTCTTTCAGAATCTCTCTTGGGCTCATGGGCTCAGAGAGCTAGAAGTGGAGAAGCCAGCTGGTCCAGCCTCCTCATTTCATGGTTGAGGACACTGAGGCACACGCCAGTTGTTGAGAAAGCCCAAGAAGTGCCCCACATCACCTCCAAAGGTCTAGCGACTTGGCCGTGTGATCTGATTCAGCAAAGGCAGCTTGGAGGTCTCCTCGCTAATTCCTTGCTTATCTCGGGCCCACCTCCCCCTTAGCCATTTTTATTCTCTTTGCTCCAGTCCAGTTCTCCTCCTTGGCAGAGAAAACAGAAGTGAAAGAAGCATGGAGGGCAGGGATGTCCACTCCATCTAGCCCGAGCCATCCCGGAGCCTCCCTTTTGTTCCCCCAGCAGAGGCAGAAATGTCGTTCTGTTGTCTTTAACTGTCCTCGGCAGCTTAAGCTCATTCTGGGCTTCAGTCCCTCTGGCACAGGGTCATACCGCTGCCAAGAGTCTGAGGCAGGATCTGAACTCAGGTCTAGCATTCCAGCCATGAGGAAACCTAACTGCTCCTTACACTCGAGGAGCTTCAGTTTTCTCATGTGTAAAAGGGAGATAACAATACCTTTGGTAACTACCTCAAATAAGATAATGTATGTAAGCATTATGCAAATGTCAGTGTAGTATTAACAAATTAAATTAAAATTAATTAATTAATGAGATTACTTTTCCAAGACTTTTAATGTGTATCCTGTATGGATATATCTATCAAGACATGAACTGTAGGCTCCTAGAAATCTCCAAACAGGCAGTGTGGTACAATAAAAAGAGAAATGGTTCTGGAGTCAGAGTGCTGGATTCAAATCCCCCCTCTGTCACTTATTAGCTATGTGACCTTGAGCAAGTCATTTCCCTGGACAAAATGACTTCTGAAGTCTCTTCTATCTCCCTTTCTCTCCGTGCCTCAGCTTTCTCATCCTCGGAATGAAAGGGTCACACTAGCTGACCTTGAAGGCCTCTTCTAGCTAAAAAGCGATGATCTTGTGACTGGAAAATTTAGGGCTGCCAAGTACGTGCCCCACGATGACTCAGGATCCGTGAACACTACAAATACACTCAAGCCTATGGGGACCATAGGGTAACAGAAAGAAGGAAGCCATCACATTTTGTAGATGTAGGAAACGTCCAGAGAAAAGCTGTCTCCTAGAAGGAACACATGGAGAGGGTGTCACATAATCTAACCTGAGGAGGAAATGAAAAAAAAAAAACAGTGTGATAAAAGGAAATAAGTAAGAAAGAATGAATGGAGCAAAACCTCAGGGCACCCCGGCAGAACCCAGAAGGCATCAACACACAAGAGACAACAACTTCACATAATCTTAGGTAATCAATGAAGAGCTTCCAGGGACAGGAATGAAGGACCTCATTAAAGGAGGGCCTGCTCACGCGACAAGGATTAGGGATGACCAGGCGGCAGGAAGGGCGCTCTGCTGGTGCCCCCAGGATGCCCAGAGCAAGCAAGGAAGGCTTTTGGGAGGACTCAGACAAGAGTCACACATGCTGGGCTGCCATCCTCACACTGCAGGGAACAGTCTTCTAGACCCATTTCAGTATTCTGTCATGTGGATTTTTACACTTAAGGAAAGCGGCACGAAAAGTCCCCTCAAATCAATTTCTCAAGACAAATTCAGTTGAGTCTGGAATGGGGCAGGGGTAACCTGGGACATGAGGAACCATGGGAGAAGAGACCCTGGGACACCATTTTGCTGGGGAAGAATGGAGACCATCGTAGGACTGTGTGAGGGAGGGGCTCACCTGGGATAGGGGTTCCAGAAGGAAGAGCAAACAGCCATCTGACAGCCCCCTATTTAAACTAATTATCTCTGCTCAATAGAAGCTAAGTTCAGTCGTTTCCAAACTGTCGAAGGACTGTCGTCATGGGATTGTATCCCTAGAGTTGGAAGGAACATTAGAGGTCCCATAGTTCCATCTCCTTATTTTACTGATGAGGAAACCAAGGCTCGAGGTTGTCCAAGGTCACTCAGACGGTGAGAGAAGTGGGGTGTGAGCCCCAGCCGTCTGACTACAACACCAATGTCCTGTCCTCTATTCTACACAAAGAGTGCCTTCTAAACTTCAGTAGCCCATGGCCTAACCCTAGTTAGCTGCTTGTTGGAAGAGAAGGGCAGCTTACTTTAGCTGATTCTGGAAAAGAGACCCTTGGCAGCCAATGGCTTTGGATAATGGTTGTTTCAGTAACTGAGCTCAGTTGTCCCTACTTCTCCCAATGCCTTGAGAAAATCTTCCTCTTTGCTCATTTACAGAGTCTGGGGTGAGCCTCTTTACAAGATTTATCACCTAGGGCAGAGAAGATTTAGTCTGAATGCATAGACCTTCTTAACACTATGCGGAAGTGGACCACAGGCAATCTGCTGGTCAAAGAACAATGTTCTCTGGGAGGAACAATACAGGCTCATCTTGCCTCCTCCCCACATATCTCCTCCACCAACCTAGCCCATATTTTCCCCCATTAAAGCTTACCCTCTGCACTAGGAAACAAGGCATCCTTGGTCCTCCTCCCCTTTGCCCCCCTCTTCCACCTCCTCTCTTTTAGCTAGACCTCACTTCAAACAGGCTCGTAAGACTGAAGGGGAGCTGATAAAATGTGTGCCATTTCAACATGAAAGGTGAAAACCACTTAACGACACGAGCTCCCAGGAGGGTGAGAGGGAGTGAAGGCTTACCAGCCCTGATCTCTGCAGATGTCTCCTTCTTCTTACGTTGCTAAAGTAGCCAACCAGGTGTTTGTCTGTCAGACTGTTATAGGTTGCAAGTGGCCTGAAAGGGTTTAAAACAAACACGAAGTTAGTATCATGAGATTTTGGTGGATATTGTTAAATCCCCAAATGCAGCCCCTGAGCTCAGGCTTCAAGAGGCTGCTTGCAAGGAACCAGATTAGAAGGAGATCGTTGTCCCAGCCTGACAGGGCCATTTCCCTGCTCCTAGGAGTCACTGGGACCCATTGGGTGTGGCCCAGACCCCATTTTCCCCTCCCATCCAAACTCACTGAAGGAATCAACAATTCTGATTTCTCTCAAATGGACCATGCTCCTAAAGGTCAAAGCACAAGCCTCTTTTTCATTGTTTAAAGCGGCCACATTGCGGCTTATGCTGCTTACTCAGCGTGCTCTAATGGTGGACACTTCTCAACTAAATAAATAGGGAGGACCCACATCTAGCCTTTCAAATTGTTGACACATTCATTCAAGCATTTCTTAAGCACCTACTGTGTGCCAGGCATTGTGCTAGGCCCTAAGACAAAGACAAAAGCGACAGTCCTTGCCCTCAAAAAAATGTAAAATCTCTGCCAGATTCTCCAGCTAAGCTGACTGATGTTGCTTTCATACCATCACCTTCTTGGCTAGCCTGCTGCACTCCAGTCTTGAACCTGACTCCCTTCACCTGCCCCAAACCCCCACCCTGGGTAATTCCCTCATTCCTCCTTCCTTGCTCCTTTTCCTCAGATGCTCTCAATGCAGGTGGAGGAAGAACTCGGCAACCAAGCCTTCTGGGTCCATTACAAGTTGACGATATCCAATCTCCACGGGGCTTTCTTTGCAACTGAGCAATCATCTTAATCCTTACCAATTAAGTCTCTCTTCCACTCTCCATAGCCATCATCATAAACCTTCTTTTTTCTCCTCAAGCCGGCCATAATACCTCCACCCTCCATCCTCCACCCTGAGGACTTTGCCTATTTCACCGGAAAAATAGAGGCCCTCTGCCATGGCTCCATGTTCTCCCCTTCTCACAACTCATAACCCTAGAAAATATGGTCTCCTGTGCCTGCCTACACTTCCTCTGTTCTCACTCATTTCTCATTCCGGTGAAAATTCTCTCTCCAAAGTTATCATTGAGCTTTTAATTGTCAAAGCCAGTGGTCTTTCCTCACTCCTCATCCTTCTTGGCCTCTCTGCAGCATCTGACATTGATGAGCACCTTCGCTTCCGGACACACTCTTCTTTTGGGGAGTCTGTGACAAATGCTCTCCTGGCTCTCCTCCTTCCCCCCGACCACTCCTTTTCAGTCTTCTGTGGCGTATCCACATCAACCCTATTAAATGTGAGTGTCCTTTAGGCTCTGTCTTGGACCCCATTTTTCTTTTCTCTACATACTCTTTCATTGGTGACCACATTCACTTCCAGGCCTTTAATTATCATCTCTCTGCAGATAAACCCCAGATCTGTAAATCCAGTCCTGGTCTCTCTCCTGAGTTATAATCCTGACCACCAAGTGCCTAGCAGACATTTCAAACTGGACATCCCACAAGCACGTCACACTTCCTTGTGTCCCAAAATGAGCTCCTTATCTTTCCTTCTAAACCCATGCCACTCTGGTACTTCCCTGTATTTGCTAAGGATACCACCATCCTTACGGTCATCCTGGTGTCCAGTCTCAAGACCCCTCTCTCTCACTCACTCCACGTATCTCACGAATTTTTAGACCTTATCATTTCTTCCTCCACAAAAGCTCTTACATATGTCCCCTTCTACCACACCCACACCCCCCCCCCACATTCTGGCCCTTGTCACTTCATTCCCTGGCCCAGCAGCTAAAGTGATTCTGAAAGAACACGTCTGACTGTGCCCTCCTCTTCTCAAGGAATCCCAGCACCTCACATCAAATGCAGACTCCTCTTTGGGGCATTTAGATTCCTGCCCAGCTCGGTCCTAAACAGCAAGGCTAAATAAAGTATAGACTCCCCTGTTTGGCATTTAAAGGCCTTTCCCAGCCAGTCCCCACCCTGCTTTTTCACACTTGCTCCACTTGACACAAGGGAATCTGGCCTTCTTCCTGCTCCTCAGACATGGCAGTCGTTCTCATGGCTGACTCCCATGACTGGAATGCACTCCTCACAGTACTGCTTTCTTCAAGTCTCCTTCAAAGCTTGGTTCAAGCATGACCTCCCATATGACACCTTTCCTGGCTCCCCTCCAGCTGCTAGCACCCTGCTCCCCAAGCCCCTGGCATGTATATTGTCCATATTTTGTATTTACTTATGTACGTACAGGTTGCCTCCTCTGATGGAATGTAAGCTCCCAGAGGGCAGGGACTGTTTCACTTCCGTCTTTGTATCTCAAGCACCTAGAACAGTACCTGGCACATAGGAGGCATTTAATAGATATTGTTGATTGATTGATCAAGTTTACTTATCCATATCATCCAACGCATTAAACTGGGAGCTGGACAGAACGCTGGAGACCAACTACTAACTCCCCCTCATTTTATAGATGAGCCAACTGAAGCCCAGAGAAGTTCAGTGATATACCCAAGGTCACATAGCTAGCAAGTAGCAGAGGTGAGATTTGAACCCAGCTCCTTGGGTGATACAAGCAGCACCAGTGCTTTCTTACCAACATAAAGCCCAATTCCTTGAAATCTGACCTCCACTCTCTTTCTATGATGAATCTGTTCCTTCAAAACCATCACTGATTTTCCCAAAACTAAATCCAATGACCTACTGTCTAACCACACCTTAACTGAGGTCTCCACCGTATTTGACTCTACTGAGTAGCATAGGGTGGAAAGACTGCCGGCCTCAGCACCAGGAAGCCATGAGATTCTTTCGAGCATGTGGTCCTAGGCAAACCGCTTAACCTCTCTACGTCGCATCTGCAAAATGAGACGCTCCGACAGGACAGCCTCCAAGGGCCCTTCCAGGATGGCATCGATGACCCTACAGTCAGCTCCTCATTCTTCACACCCCCTCTGCCTCCGATGACCCTCCACTCTGCCTCCTTTGCTGGCTCAACTTCATTCCCCCACCCCTGACTTTGAGCATTCCTCTGGGACTCTCTCCCTCTTGTCTCTCTCTCTGTAGCCTCATCCATTCCCATGGCTTTAATTATTACCTCCATGTGGATGACTCCCAAATCTGCATCTGTCTCCAGACCAGAACTTTCAAGCTACTTAGCAGAGATTCCCACCAAGCAACTTAAACCGTACATCTCTTGGTCCTCACTTCCACAGATGTTTGATATTGGCATTAAACAGTCTCTAAACCTCAGAGCCAACCCTGACAGTCCAACCCAATGTCTCATCAGTTGCCAAGTCCCATCATTTCTGCCTCCATCATGACTCATCAATCTCCCCTTTCCAACCATACAGCCATCGTGCTAGCTATTGAATGAGCTGGAATGGAGCTAAAGCTCTCATTAACTTGGCTTGGATGCCTGCAGCGGCCCCATTAGTACCCCCATATCTATTCTCTTCCGAGTCCAAACTGTCCCCTACGCAGCTACCCAGGGAATAATCTTCCTCACTCTCAACTCCCATCCAGTCATCACCCTGCACTTGCTGAATAAAACCCAAGAAAGAGCATTCACCTGCCTAATGAACATCATTGTAAATTAGACCCAATCTCCCTTTTAGTGTGATCTTTCATTCCTCCCCTACATGGAACCCGGTTTCCTGGAAAAATGGACTAACTTGCAATCTCCTCAACACGTCCCAGATTTTCCCACTCATGTGCTGTGAACAATACCCTTTGCTGCTGTCTACATGGAAAACACCTTCTTCCATAGACTGTGCAAAGAGTACCCCGTTTGGGGTCTGAGTCTTGGGTAGAGATGTGGGGTGTTCCACCCACGACTTGTACAACCTTGAACAATTCATAATTTCCCCAAGTCTCAGTTCTTCATCTAGAAAATGAAGGGGCTGGATGAGAGGACCTCTCCAGTCCCTCTCCAGCTCTCAATCTGTGATCCTCATCTTCCTAGCCCCAGTCTCCATTTGCTAACTTCCCACCTATCTTCCCAAGGCCCAGCTCAAGGGTTTCCTATTCTCTCGAGCCAGAAGGGAGATTTTATTCTAATGATCCTTCAGGACGTGGAACTGGCAAACTTCAGTCCCTGTGGGAAGAGGACAGAAGAGGACTAAAAAGGGACGAGGTGCCAAAGGTACAAGCTTCCCGCTTAGGAAAGACCTTGCTGAGGTGAATGAATGAGTGAATGAATGAATGAATGAATGGATTGCTTGTTCTAAGATTGTGCTTTGAGGTTGGCAAAGAATTATAAATAATATCTCACGTGTTCCTCACAACAACCCTGGGAGGTTGACGCTATTTTTATCTCCATTTTACAAATGAGAAAACCGAGGCAGGCCGAGGTTAGGTGACATGTCCAAAGCTGGATTTTAACTCAGGTCATCCTGATTTCAGGCCCATCAATTTATCCGCTGCACCTCCTAGCTGCCAAAGGATTTATCAGGCATTGACTATGAATGGCAATTTGTCAGGGAGGTCTGGATTTGAGTCCAGCTCTGACACATCCTGGTCGTGGGTTCCTGGGCAAGTCACTTTACCACTTGCTCTAGACAAGTCTCTGAGTTGGAGAATCATAGAGAAGGTGCTATCTTGCGTTGGCAGGGTTTCCTCACCTGGGAGTTCCCCAGCCCAATAAAATCAGGAGTCCAGTCCTTATCTCTAAGTGCTTATCATGTGCTGAGAACTGGGGATACAAATTTAAAAAAAAAATGAAGTCCTTGCCCTCATGACGCTCACATTCTAACGGGGAAGATGAGACACAGCACACGGCAGCCAGGGAAGGGAACTGGGAGAGAAGCTCTGCACTTGCTGACTCAATGAGACAGGTCTCCCTCAAGTCTACAATGGGCCAAGTCCACAACAAGAAACGCCGTTTTGTTCAGTACTGCCCTGCGGTGGGGGATTACCTTGGATCTGGAAGCCCTTGGATCTCCTCTAGGCTTGATTGAAGAAGCCAGAATAGAATCTGATTGAACGAGAGGCCTCAGGACAGTGCAAAGCTACTACTCTGAGC